AAGAAAGAAAAAGAAAGAAAGAAAGAAAGCTGGTCATGATTCTGCCAGAGAATGGGTGAGGGTCAGCAGAGAGAAAGTGTTGGCAGAGGGAGAAATTAATAAGAGGCAGAGAAATAAAGAGTATTAGGAAGGGCCACTTTGACTCTTTGAAGGACCTTTTACCCAGGATCCTCCAGCTCATGATAGAATCAACAGAATTACTGGTGGTCCTTCTCTATTAAGCGGGCAGAATGCTTCCAAGAAAAGCTTATCTTTTCAAATTGCCCTGCCATATCCCATGGAATATTACGATGTTGAAGGCGAAGCACGCAATCGCCAAACCGGTTGTTATACCGGCAGCATCCCACCCCTGCATATAGGTTACCAAGAATTGAGTTTGACTTGGAAAAAAAAGTTTGATTAAAATAACCAGTTGCAATGAAATGAAACCACGCACTCATCCTTAAAGTAACATTAATAGCATCATGCACACACACATATATTCACAGAGAGATTCCTAAAGCATAGACATTGTAACTCAAAGTCACACAAGGCAAAAGCCCTGTGATGTACTGAGATATTGCAAGATAAAAAGACATGAGATATACCATTTAGCTCTATGAATTAGGAGACTTTGTTATCAAATGCAGTGAGGGAAGCTTCAGTAACCACAGTGATTCCCAAAAAATTTCTCATTTTGTTTTCTCTTCACCTGAGTGAACAAAGCTTCAGAAGAAAAACTCACCACTTTTTCTATACATGCACCAACCCCACTTTGTTCATTCTTATTTCTCTTATTGTGTGGCAGGATATCAAAATAATCATAGCACCTGCTTTCAAAATGTTTAGGAATCTTACCTTGAATTTTCCTGATTTCTCCCTGAAATGTGAAATGGTGGTCTGGTTTTAGTTTAATTTTCCAGAAGAGGTTAAAAAATTACATTTTCCTCTGGTTTCAGCATATTCACTTTCAAAACAGAATCTTGTCTAGATACCACTCATTATCACCACGCAGATGTGCTCATGCATCTGCATGTCAGATTCTTATTCTCAGAATTCAATTACAGAAGAGGTAACTCCAATGTTGCAGGTCTGCTTTCATTGGAAACCCAAAAACATTGGCCCAAAGTTGCACCTTTTCCTTAAAGGATAGGAGCCCAGAAGCACAAAGGGAATAAAATCCCATAGAGCCTTGCCTTTAGTGGAGCTTGGATGCCTGTTCCCTTCCTTCTGGCAATGGGATGGATTCCAGTTCTTTCAGTGCTAGTTTCTCCAGTCTGGTCTTCATTCCATAGATGGCACAACAGGTCAATATGGCATTTCTCCAGATTAGAATCCTCCTTCTAGCTCTCTAAAAGAAAGGGCATCTGGAAGACAGGGAACTGCTTCTGGCAGGTTGCTTTCTCATTGCTCACATGGCATCTATCAAGTGGTGGTCAGTTGGATTCACCTTCATTTGCTCTTCACCTTGTAGTTGCTATTTTCACTCTTGGGCTATTTTGTTTTGCTCTTAAGCCTTGCTAGAAATATCTGCTATCTTGCATCTTCAGTTGTGCTAAGTACTGTATCTTGAAGTCCATGAATAATGCAGGATAATCAATGGTCGTTGGATGCAGGTAGAGTGCAAGCATCAATCTGCATAGCAGGATGTTACAGGCCTTTCGTAAGATTACAGACTTGACTGTAATCCAGATGATTATGCCAGGGAGACTGGAAGCCTCAGGTAATTGGTGGAAGTCTTTGGGAGACTGTATGTCACTTCCTGTTATCCCGGTCAGCCAAAAACTTTCACTTCTCAGCTTCCTCCTGCGCATTTTTGTCCGGATGAAAGCTTCTTTGTGGCGGCCATTGCTGACCGCCGCTCCACCGCTTTTGGAAAAGGGAGTTAAGCCAGCTGAGGAGGGGGGTTGCGATTCCCCTGGACCCCTGCCGGATCTCCCCTGTCTTCAGTTACCTCTACGGGGTAACTATAGCCCCCAAATCCAGCTGGATCGGGGGCACTCCAGTGGCGAGCGCAGCAATAACCGCGCACGTTCACGGATTCCTGCCGCCGCCGAAGCCTTGCAAACCAGAAGTCTGTATGTCACTTCCTAAGATCCCCTCTGTAACAAGTGAATTTCTAAAATGGGTTCCCCCAACCCTTGGGCCTTGGTCCACTAACGGGCCATGACCTGTTTGAAACCAGGCCACAAGCAGAGGGCACTTGTGCTCATGTGCAAAGCTCCATTCACAAACACCCTCCACTCAAAGGCCCTCCACTCGCGCAAGTGGAGCTTCAGACATGAGCACCTCTGCTCATGCGCAAAGGTAAATGTATGCATGGGGAGGACTCACGTGCCCATCCCTCATACAAATGGAGATGTGCATGTGCACTTGCCACTCACACATGAACACACCACCCAGGGCCAGGCTGCCAAGCTGGAAAGGTTGGGGAACACTGCCCTAAAAGACAGTAAACACCAAGAGCTATTCATGGGTCATTTTGATAGAAGTGGAGACTCAGGAGCATTATGTTCCATGATGTTAAATTGTTCCTAATTACTAGCATTATGTTCTTTGCTCTATTTACATTTACCCAGAGTGCTGTGGTACTATTTTCTTTGTAGCTGCAATGCTACTTGATGGAATGTAAAATTTATCTCATGTTGAAACCATCCCACCAACGAAGTCTCTTCAGGCAGAATTTTTTCCATTCCTACCTGGAGCTGTCAGAGGTTGAACCTGAAAGTTTCTTCCTGCAGAACATAAATTCCAGTATTGTTCTAAATACCAAGGTGAAGTTTGTACTTAGCATTTGGAGAACTGGAGAAAGTGTGTAAAGAGAAGTCTTGTAACAAGAGTTGGCAATCCTAAACTGGAATAAGGCAGCCTGTATTTGGGCAATGAAACAAGACCTCAGTGGGGAAAAATGAAACAATTAAGCAACTTTGAGCAATGGAAGTGAAGTGGTCTTTCTTACTACAGGAAAAAAGCATCTTAAATGTTTGCC